TTAAAGAAAACATTGAAATCAAAAGTGTTATTCCACAACCTAACCACTCCCATTCCTTGGGGGTGAGCCCCTCCTCACCACCCCAAGTTTGTTGGAGAGGTTGGCCTTCACAGCAGCTTGCAGGGACATCCAGACTGTCCTCAGTTCCTTATTCCATTATAAATCTCATCTTGATCAGCCTCTGAACAACCAACAGTCTTCACTGTTGAACTGAGTATTGCTTGTCCAGATCCCTCTCCCGATGATTCTCCAAAAACATCTGTACTGTAAGATGTTGACTTCTACTTCTACAAATAGCACTAAACCAGACTTTCTTGCTCCTCAACTTCCAATTGGATTCCACCACTGGGAGGTATCAGCAGGTCAGAGGGCAGGGAGAGAAAAAGTGGGAGTGTATATTTTCATCACTTCTCCCGACAGCTGATTCTGTTGATCTTTCTTTTTGAAACTATTCTCTCAATGTCCATAAATCTAGTTATCCTCTTGTTATTTCCCTCCTCTCAGGTCATCCCTATTTTGTCTCTTCCATGTCTTCTTGCTTCTCAAATGCTACTGTTCCCCAAGATTCAGTTATGTAGTCTCGTTTTACCACATTATCCTACAGCAATTTCACCTACATCCACTGACACAGTGATTCTCTTATATCTTTACTCCAATCCATGCACTCTCCAGAGCCAGATTTCTAGTTTCCCACCAAACAGGTACACTTAGATGACCTACAGACACTTCACATTTAATGTTCCAGAACTAAATACATTATCTTTGCTTCTTATTCCTTGCTTCAGCAAACAGTGGTACCATTTATCTAGGTGATTAACTGAACATTATCGTAGACTTCTCCTCTATCTCCAACCAGCAGCTAAGTCTTATAAAATGTCACTGCCTTGACACATCCTAAGTCTCTATTTTCTTACATCCATTGCCATGGACACTGACTCAGTCCAGGACGAGGTCATCTCTTATTCATGCTGTTACAACTGTCTTTTAACTGGTTCCCTGGTTCTAGACCTGCTCCTTTCGAGTCATTCTTCAGACAGCTGTCAAAACAATATTTATAAAACAAAAATTTGAAGTTCACATTGTAGTTTAAAATTCTTCGGTGGTTCCCCCTTATGTATAGGTTAAGTACAATACCTTAGTGTTGGATATGTACACTAGCTATCCCAATGTCGCCAGCCTTATTTCTAATAATTCCTCACGTCTTCAAAATCTATTCTACATCTCTACTTTCTCCCATTCCCCACTCACACTATGGTGTTTTACATCTCTGTGCCTTTATACATGCTGGACTTTCAGGAACACCTTCTTTCCTTGTTGGCCTATGAAGTCTTAACCACCTTTAAGTAATCACCATACTGAAGCTTCACATAACCACTCCCACCAGAACTGAACAGTTTGTGTCTTCCTTTGAATGTCCTCGTACAAAGCTCAAGTAGCCCTCACATTGCACCATGATGTAATTCTTCGTTTTGGGAACTGCTTGCTCTACTAGACTCAAAAGTCCTCAAGGGCAAGGGCAGTATCATTCATGCTCCCTATCATCATATCACTAGCATTTGGCATGTTGCTATGAGACATTACTAGAATCAAGAATTTATATTGTTCTTAGAAAAGTAATGGAATATAAATATGAATGCCTACAATTTAAATATCAACATTCAAAATTCACAGTGAAAGACTAAAGAGATTTTTATGGCTGTGAAAATTTGAGAAAAAAATAAGAGCTCTTTTACCTACTGGGTCACTGGAAAAGCTGTGATACATTTTTCTGTGTTTTTCCATGCAAAAATGCATCATGACTTTTCTGACAGCCCAATACTTAGAATGATTTAATTACACTCCAAATTTCTGAAGGCAAGTAGGGTGGACACCCAGGTAAATGGTGTTGTCATTTACTCAGGTCCTTTCCAACCCATGATAAATCCACTCTCTGAAATAATCTTGAACACACCATCTCTGCACTTTCACAAGAATTCTGACTCTTACTCTGACTCTAAAATGTCAGTTCAGCATGGTAAGGCAGAAGTACAACCTTCGAATATGAGACAAGGTCTGAATAAAAGCTCAACCTTTTCATTGCTTTGTGACTTAGAGATGCTGAACCTCCTTGAAGCTCAGTTTTATCGTCATAAGGATAGTTACAGCAACTCATTCAACCATTTTACACTCAAGTACCCAGCATATAGTGACTGTTCAGTAAGATTATTTCCTTCCCCTTTACTGAGTGACATTTATTCTTGTACATTTTCACCCAAGCATCTTTTCACAAAGATTAGAAAAGCCTCTCCTATACCAAGGTTATTTCCTCCATGAGTCCACAGTCCACAGATAGCTTTTTCAGTCTAAGATCTCTAACTAACTTTCAGAATTTCTTTCTAGAGAGTAACATTTGCTATCTTCTTTTCTTAACTAAAATTAAAGAAAAGTGATTAAACCAATAGAATAGATTTTTTTAAATACTGATTTACCTTAATCTGTAACCTGTTGCAAGCAGTTGCGTCGAACTGAAACTAAGGACGCTGTCTGCTGCATCTGGGAAAACTGATCCCCTCCAAGGCCTCTTTGCTTCCTCCCCCTTACCTGTCTTCCTCTGAAGTCTTGGTCTGCCCTCTGTGCTGATTGGATAGCCTGGACTCACTGGGGCAAACCGACAGTCTCGTTGGCTCAGCTCACTGTCAATCTCTACTCTAGCTCTTGGCTTCTCTCAAGTTTACACTCTTGTTGCCTAGGAAATCCTAGTGACTGCTGAAGACCAAGCTGTTTGCCCCTGGAGAAAAGCCAGCCGGAAGTTTTGCTGGCAATTGTTTGGTTTCTAGAACCTCATCAAAATTCTCCTCCCCTGTTTTATAACACATTCAGCAAATTGTCTTACTATTTCTAGATAGATTTTTTTTCCTACTCTTCAGTTGTCTCCAGATGGTTAGGGTGCCTTATTACCAAGTGAGACCTAAAATCACAACCCGGGAGCAGGCAGGTATAATCAAAGGTGACTTAAAGCCTTCTCTCCTCCATGTTCAAATAATGACAGGGTGCCATCTCTGCCATTTCCATTTCCATCCTTTTTTTTCCTCTTTACTTCTCCTTTTTGTTTTGTTTTGTTTTGTTTTACACTATAAGATTGCCAGATAAGAACTGTCTAATCACCCGGCCTAGAGGAAATTATCTGAATCATGCTTTTCCATCGCTTATCTATGGCATCCACACTATCCTTGCTATTCCTACCTCTACACGTCCCTCCATCTCAGGGTAGTACAAAGAACCGGGGACTGAACTATGAAGATCTGAGTTCCATTGCTTGTAACGCATCTTACATGATGTGTATTCTCAGGTAAGTATGGTTATTGGTTTCTAAAATTGCTTGAAGTGGAAAATATATCTTGTCCACTTCTCAGACTTGCCTTAGACACCAAGAAAGTCGCAATCTCTGTGGATTATAACTTGACATTGGTTGAAGTGAATTCTGGCAGGGTGTGACTTAAGGGACAAGAAAAGGCTACTTCTTTAAAAATTTCTCCAGTGTCTGGGGCCAGCAGGTGGCATGGTGGTTAAGGCACTGGACATAGCTGACCATGTTTCAAGTCCAGGACCTGGTGGCTTAAAAATCATGCCATGCTCGTGTGCATGAGTGCCCAAAATCCCAGGAAGAGAATGGTGGAGAAGGGATTGAGGCATGGCCGTCCTCCCTGGGGGTGGTGGTGAGGGGTGATTTCTCTCTCTCTCTGTCTCTATCTAGCTATCACAAGTGCCCTATGGCAAAAAGCTAAAATAAAATTGAAAACTACCCTTATAACTCTCTTTCAGGATCAGATGTTATTTCCAGAAGGCCCCTGCCTGAGGAACATGACATCTACCAAGCAATTCAAAGGTGCTTATATTGGCAGGAAGTAAATGTGCTTCCCACTTCCACCTGAGAGTAATTCTGAGCCTCTTCTCCATTAGCCATGATGCCCAAAATCCTTCCTCCTTCCTACAACTGGCTTAGTGGAATTAAGCTGTGCCATTTCACTTTCACTAAGTGAAACTATCAAGCTAAACTATTGGATTTAGCTATAAAGGCACAATCGCTTAGACAAAAAGCACCACCAATGACAGATAAATCTGCCTTTTAGCTAAGATAAGAGGTAAGACAGTGGAAAGACAACTGAGAGTTCTTAGAGGACCAAGAGGGAGTCTGGTTTATTTTTTCATTTTCCGAAGGGCCCAGCACCTTGCACAAACATGAAATCTATCAAGGCTGATCAAGTCAAGTTGTTGAAATGGATAAAAGGCATTCATATTATACACATGTAAAATAGGAAATCTGGGACAAGCAGATAGCATAATGGTTACATCGCTGGACTCCCACGTGGGCAACTGCAGTTTCAGTCCTGGGCCTGGCAGCTTAAAACTCATGCTGGGTATATGTGCATGCGTGCCCAAAATTCCAAGAGGGGACTGGAGGAGAAAGGATTGCAGCATGGTCAACCCTCCTAGGAAGTGATTTCTCACTTTCCGTCTCTCTGTCTCTCTGTGTCTCTGATAAATACATGTGCCTTATAGCAAAAATCTCTCTAAAAAATAAATTAAAAATAAAAATAAAATAGGAAATCTGCTATTCAGAAATAGCTACTTCATTATACTATGTAGAAATTTGTGTGAGATCACTAGTATTTCTTTCACTCCCTTTTACATGATAATTAATTTACATTTAAATAATAACTTAATCTCCTCAAAATAGCCTATGATTAGGATGTGATAAATGAAATAGCAGAAGATTGACGTGGAGAAATATCACATTGACAGAACATTTAGTGTAAGTTATGGCTAGTTGTTACATATGAATAAACAGAAGAATAACTACATAAAGAAAAGAAATATAAATTATGTATTAAATATCATTTGGGAATCTGAATTCATGCCTCTCGCTCTCTCTCTCTCTCTCTCGCTCTCTCTCTCTCTCTCTCTCTATATATATATATATATATATTTATGTGTAAATTCTTAGTGTGTGTAATGTTTTATATACATCCATTTAAAAATTGAGTTAAAGATTTTGCATAGCTGTGCATGTGATTTCTCAGTTAGATGTGTACACTACAGAAACAACCTTGAAATTAAGATAGAGAACATGTTCATTGTCCCAACTGCAGTCCACACTCCCATAGCTCTATGCAACCATTGGTCTGCTTTTTGCCACTATAAATCAGACTTTTTTATGAAAGGAATAATCCAGAATGTACTTTTGTATGTGTCTGGCTTCTTATAGTCAACAAAATAATTTTGAAATTCATTTATATACTTGTGTGTGTCAATAGATTGTTCCTTATTACTTCTGAACAGTAGTCTATTTTATGTATATATCACAATTTGTTCATCCATTAACCTATTAATGGTCACTTACTATTTTTCTTAGTCTGAGGCTATTACAAACACATTGCTGTGAGCATCTGTGTACAAGTTTTGAGGTGAACATGTTGTCATTTACCTTAAGTAAACACATGGAAGTGGAATGGCTAGGTTATATGGCAAGTCTATACTTATCTAGTTAAAAACTGCCAAGTGGGGCCACCTCTGGGACCTGGTGGTGAAGCCAGCCAGATCCCACATGACTGCCTATGACCTGGAGGCTTGAGAAATATGCCAGGCACATGTGTGTGTGTGCCTTAAATTCTGGAAGAAAAGAAAGATGGAGGAGAAGAGATTATGGCATAACCTTTCCCTATGGAGGCATGCTTTTTCTTCTCCTTCTCCCTCTACCTCTCTCTGGCAAGCATACATACCCTCTAGCCAAAAAAAAAGACAGAAACTGCAGAACAATTTTTCAAAGCCTTAGAACCATTTTACAATCCATTCCCATTAGCGATGGAATGTGTGAGTTTCAGTAGCTCTATCTTCTTCCCAACTATTGATAATTGTTGGCCTTTTTAATTTGGAATTATCTATTCAAACTATTTTTCTATGTAAAAAATACATCATGACTTTTCCAATGACCCAATATTTGATCTACTTTTATATTGATTTTTAAGACAGTCTAGATAAAATCCCTTTGTCTGAAAATGTGCTACAAATATTTTCTCCCTGTTGTAGCTTACATTTTTGTTTTCTTACTGTTGCTACCAGAGTTTGTCAAAATCAAAACAGTCATTTGTGTCAACTTGTGCTAAACCCTGACTGAACACAGTCACTGAGAAGGTTATGGTTGGGGTGTTTTCTCACACCAGCATATCTGATAACAAAAAATGTCACTCTGTCAAAACTACAGTCATTTACAACAAACACCACTGCAATATGGCACAAGAGCTACTTTTGCCCAGAAACTGACTGTCCAACTGATAAACACTGATGCCACTGATGATGCCAGAGTGATAACTTCGATAACAAAGAGTAGTATTAGATACTCCCATTACTAATCCCTAAACAATAATATAACACTCCTCCAACTTGTGGTCTTTGCCTTTAAAACCTACTTACACCTTGTAAGGCTCCAGAGCACATGTTTGGGGCAATTCGAATATGCTCATACAGGTCTTAACCCATTTACAATGCTAAAATTTATGCCTAAATAAACCCCTTTTGCTTTATATGCTTTGACTTAGTTATCTTTTTAGGTTAAAATGTCCTCAGAAGAGTGAAAGTTTTCTTTTTTTTTTAAATAATTATTTATTTAATTTTATTTATTGGTCCATATATTTTAATTTGACCAGAGAGAGACAGAAAGAGAGAGAGGGGAAGTGAGAAAGCAAGCCACCAGGTCCAGGACTTGAATCGTGGTCGGCCATGTGGGAGTGTCCAGCGCCTTAACCACCACACCACCCGCTGGTACCGAGTGAAAGTTTTCTTAGCTTTTAAATGTATTTCTTGGGGCCAACAGGTGGTGTGGTGATTAAGGCGCTGGACATTCTCACATGGCTGACATCGGTTCGAGTCCCAGACCTGGAGGCTTGCTTTCTCACTTTCTTTCTCTCTGTGTATCTGTCTTTCTCTGGTCAATTTCCTTGAGAAACAGAAATAAAGAAAGACAGACACTCTCAAAAGGGTCTTTATGCCACCACCCACCCTAGTTTCAACCAACCAGATCATGGACCAGTGTACACATGCCCAGAATGCTCAGGAAGCTCCCAGGACCAAAACTCATGACCTCTCTAATATGGATCCAATTATGTCATCACTGCTCCACCATCTGGTCCCAATAGGAGTAAAAATTGTTAATTTTGTTAAACTTCAATTTATCAAACGTGTTTATGTTATGGTTGGAACATTGGAACATTGGAAAATAAATCTGTACTTACCACAATGCTATAAAAATCTTCTTTTACAACTTTCATCCATTAGTCTTACCTTTTACATTTAAGCCTATATTATGAGCTAATTTCTGTTTTCTATGAAGTTTAATGTCCTTTTGTGTATGGTATGAGGTAAAGGTCCATTTTCACTCATATATACAGTTGTTCCCTCCCAATTTACTGAGATGTTTCTTTTCCCATTGAGTCATCTTTGCATTTTTATCAACAATCAACTGGCTACATTTGGGTCTACTTTGGAATTCTCAAGATGTTGCTGAAGTGGTAACCAAAGGCAAATCAGAGGCCTTGTATTTCATTCAGTGGGGAATCACCAAAGGATTTTAAGCAGGAGAGTGATGAAATAAGATTTTTATTTTGTCAGGACCATGCTGGCAGCCCTATGGAGGATGCTTAGAAGGACAAGACTGGA